TCAAGCCAGCTCTCCTAGCTACTGTTATAAAGTCAGTTTCATCCAACACAAGATTGCTTTGTACCAGCACATCCTTGCCTTAGCCTAGAAAATTCCTCCGGCTTTTCGGAGAAGCTTCCCTTCCTACTTCTCTCCAGTATTTATTTCCTCGGCATGTTTCCTGTAATTTGCAAAGATTAAAGATTTAAGCTTCTTTTATTGTGATGTGCTTTCCCTGCTCCATTATGCATTCTGCCCATCGTTCCCTGTCTCCTCCCACAAAGCTCCCAAATCCTTTCTGCACGCACAGAAAATGCTCCACAGGTAGACCTCACCTTGGGCCGACCGGCTCCTAAAAAGTGCTAGGAAATTTCAGCTTCTGCAGGTTGAACGCACTTTGCCACCCTCCTCCCAACTGAGCATTAGCTTTCACGCTTGGTCCAAATTAACAAGGGCTCCTAGCTGTTTGGGTGCAGTGACTTCCCCTATCTCTGTGCTCTCCCGCTTTCTCTTTTCCCAGGGATTTGAGTCCAGGTGTTCATGATGTATAAACCAATCTTTAACTGTACTCTTTGAAGCAGCTCAAAATCAAGCCATTTGGTGGTAAGAAGAACTCTAGGATGTAAAATATTCTGTCCGGCACCGGCATGGGTTGTTGGCAGGGCTGGCTTCTTGGATGTGCAGCCAATAGTCACGCAGGTCCCTTTGCTCAGAAGGGCCACACTCTTGGTTTTATGCTCTGCTATCACTGTTGAAATTCTTAATAATTTTTTTAATAAGGGAACTCACACTTTTCATTTTGCACTGGGATGCTGAAACTTTGGGGATGTCCCAGTTACTGTTATTGCTGCTGCTGTGGTTTTTGTGGTTTTGTGTGCAGCCCTCCTGCAGCTCAGCAGGTGAGACCTCCTGAGTCCAGACACCTGGGAGGAAACCTGCCGCTGGGTGGTGTGTGGGGCTGGTGCTTCCCAGTGCCCGGCCAGACTTGGGCAGACTCACAGCTGGTCCGAGGGCAGGGAACAGGAGACTCAGCAGAACACACTTCCTCACTCATTTGCTTCATTCATCAAACAATGGTTGAGCTCTGCTGTGTTCCAGGCACTGTGCTAGGGACTTTGACAACACAGGGAAGGACAATGAAAGAGAAATATTCACTTTCTCCAACCCCATTCAGAACCCCAGAGCTATGAACCAGGGCATCTGCTCACACAGAAATAAGCCACACCCATTGGGGGTTAGAAAAAGTGCTGAATTAGAAGTCAGACCTGGCTTCTAGCCCCTGCTCTGTATTTGACTTGCTGTGTGACCTTGAGCAAGTCACTTCCCCTCTCTAGACTAGATCACTGTCCAGATGTGTTTGGCCCCGCCCCATATCAGAATCCCTGGAAATACAGATTCCTGGGCTCCACCTAGAGTGACTGAATCAGAAGTGCTAGGAGTGGGTCCCCTTAATTGCCACCCAGTGCTCCCAATGTGATTTTGACGTGCATTCTACTTTGAGAACCTCTGAGGTACATGGTCTGAGCCTTTACCTCTAACAGTCTATGTTTGATAACTTCAGCTCCTAATTGGGTCTTCACATTTGCACCAACAGCATCCATACCCAGGAAATGCAGGAGATCAAGGGTGTATAGGGCAGAAACCGATGGGGGCTCTGTTCACTCTCAAACTGGAGAATAATCCTCAGAGGAAGCCCAGGGCATTCCTCTGAAAGCAGAGCAACAAACTCCATCTGGAGATGTGATAGTAAGCAGTGCTTTGGGAAGAGCAGGACCAGAGAGAATCTGGAGCTACAGTCGTGGGCTGACCATAAATACACCCGGGTCTGCTCAGAAGCCACCAGATCACCAGGGCCGCCGACAGGAGACGCAGGGCGGCGCCTGCGCAGGAAAGCAGCGCCATGCTGCCGGGAGAGGGCTGGGCTCTGCTCGCAGCTCACACTCTACAGCTGTACTACCCGGTCAGGTTGTCACCACCCACATGTGGCCATTTACATTTAAGTTAGTTAATTAAATTTAAAGAAAAAACAAACAAAAAAGGTAAACGCGAGGTGATGGATATGGTAATTTGATGGGGGAAGTCCTTGCACAATGTATAGCAGATCTTCATGTATACTTTAAATATCTGCCAATTTTACTTGTCAATATACCTCAGTAAAGCTGGGGGAATGATTAGTTAATGAATGAAAATTTCAATTCCACATGCAGCCAGTGGCTACCATGTTGGATACACGGGTTATAGAATACTTCATCTTGGCAGAAATTTCCACCAGCCAGCACTGCTCTAAGAGGGGGACCTTATCCGTCAGCCTCTTCTGCCTGTGCCCACACAGTTACTGGATGTCTATAACGCTCTGAGGTTCCTTGAGAAATTTACTCTGCCCCAGCTCCTGCTGCTTCGGGAACAAACTCCCCTTCTGAATGCTAACCCAGTCTGATTAGCCCTGGGCAGCTCTCACTGATGTAGGCATGCCTGGCCCATCCTCTTTGTCCATTACTCGCAGCGTTTCTGACAGAAAGTCTTCACTTCTCATTTCTCCCTGTGAGCCACAGGACCCCTTCTTTGAGTCTGTCTTACTGGCTTTAAGGTTCCTTAGGCTCAGTTATACATCAGGCACGCAGCTTGGACTAGCTCTGGAAAACATCTCTGCTGCTCTGCCCCCCACAGCTCACTGAGCTTGTTTTTAGTCAGCCAAGCACAGGCGGGCATCTCCCCACCTCACACGTTCCCTGCTCAACCCCCCCATCCCAGCCTGCTCTTCAGGATCCTTGGCCTCTCCTCAACCCCTCTCCTGGGCAAGCCTTAGAAAGCCTAGCCACCAAAGGCTGACCCCTCCCCGCCTCTTCCGTCCATCCTTCCTCTCCCGAAGTGCCCCCACCCCGATCTACCTGTGGGCCAGAGGAGCGCTCCCTTCTCAGGAGGCACTCGCCGTCTGCCGCAGAGGTGGACACAAAGCCACAGGCACTTGGGGACATACGGGCGGGGGTCTGGACAGATGATCTGGGTGAAGAGATCACAGAGCACTTGGCTGCTGGAGGGAAGGGCGCTGTGTTTGTGGATTGCCTGGGCTTCTCACCCACTCCACGAAGACACAGGATGAAAATGTTCCCAGCCGAGGGTCTCTGTTGCCGAAACCCCCTGTACTCCACCTGACTCCATCCAAACTATATGAAAGCCCCGCCTGTCCTTCCCTCCTAGTCCCTGTCTGTCTACTAGTTCTTCCCCTGTGCCCTTGACCTCAGCATTCTTGCGCTGCTCCAGACCCTTCCCCTGCCTTGGTCATTGGCCTGCAGGCCGTCTGTGTGACCTGCCCATTCCCCTACCTGCCCCCCAGCCCTTCCTTCTCTGCTCTTCTCTTCCGTGCCAGCTCCAGTGTGTGTTTCCATACTCTCCCCAAGATAAGGCCCCAGTGCTGACAGATCCCTTCCTCCCTGACCTCCGACTGGGAGAAATAGTCCTCTGGCTCCATCTTCCCTCATTCCTGCATTACCCATCCTTTCCCCCTTTTCTTCTTGTAGAACACTCTTTGATTTGGACTCTAAATTGACCTTGCCCATTAATATGCGAGTTGGGTCTGAATCACAAATCACTCCCTGGCCCTTTGAACAGGTGTTCCCTGAGTGCCTGCTAATGTGCCCAGCCCTGTGCAGGACCTTTCAGATCCAGAGAGAAAGCCCAGAATTGGCCTCGGAATGCTCCAGCCTGGTGGAAGAGACAGTCAGATACAGGACTGTCCACATGGTGTGGCAGAGGCTTTATCCGTCCTATGCAAAGAATACAACAGAGAATGAGAAGGAGTTGCTTTGAGTGGGGCTGGGGGCTGAATCGTCAGTGATGAGCAGGGAGATGGTCAGGCTGACAAGATAGAAAGGCATTCCAGGAAGGACATGCATGTGCATTGTGCAGAGCAGGGATGGTTAACAGCCCATCTAGGCAGCCAGCAGTGTGGCACACATGGAGCCATGAAGCACAGGGCTGCCCAGAGCAAGGGTGGAAAGGTAAAGGAGACTGAGCTCCTTACGAGCACAGGAGAGAGTTATGCAGGTTTGGATTTTGGAAAGCTCATACTGCAGGCTGTTTGCAAAAAATAAGACCCAGTGAAGTCTGACATATCACATAGGTACATTGCCCACCAATTTTGAACAAGAGGATGATGAGCCAGGCTCTGCCATCCCCTCACTTCCTGCCACCCCGCCGCCTCCCACCACCAAGAGCCAATTCTCTTGCCAAATTTTGAAAAAGGCAGAAGCTTCTCTTCCAGTTGCCCATCTCCTGCAGCTACAAAGGGTGGGCACCTTGGCATACAGGCAAGCCCTGTATTTTTATTTCTTCTGCTGTAAGCCCGTATTTTCTTCCTCCTGATCTCCTTGCCCAATAGAGAATTTAGTAAATAAAAATAAGGTACTTGACTCACTTCATAATCCCATTCTATAGTTTTGGAGACTGAAGGAAGGAGCTGGCCTGTCTGACCTGAATTAGTTTCTGTTTGCTAATGTAACAGATAACCACAAACTCAGTGACTCAAACCACACACATTTATTAGGTTGCAGTTCTGGAGGCCAGAAGTCCAAAATGAGTTGCACTGGTCTCAAACCTAGGTGTTAGCAGGGCAGCGTTTCTTCTCAAGGCTCCAGGGGAAAATCCATTCCTTTGACCTTTCCAGTTTCTAGAAGCTGCCTGTGTCCCTTGTGTCTCCTTCTTCCTTCTGCAGAGTCAGTAGCAGAGCTTTTTTCAATTCTTTCTCTGACTCTGACCTTCCTGCCTTCCTCTTATAAGGACCCTTGTGATTATGGGGATGGATAATCAAGGATACTCTGCTATCTCAAGACCCCACACTTAATCATACCTGCAGTGTCCCTTTTGCCATGTAAGCTTCCAGGGATGAGGATGAGGACATCTTTGGGAGGCACGGTACTGCCCACCACACAGCCCTTCCAGAGTTCCTTTGAGCCTTTCCATCCGCGGACTCCATGACCATCCGCTGTCGCTGACCTGTGGCTCTGTCCATTTTGTTCTTTCAGAGGAAACGACATTTGAAGCAGGAGTAAAAGTTCAGATCCACAGTCAGTCTGAGCCGCCTTTCATCCAAGAGCTGGGCTTTGGGGTGGCACCAGGGTTCCAGACTTTCGTGGCCACCCAGGAACAGAGGGTAAGTTCCTGGGCTCCGTGGATCAGTGGTCCTCGGCCTACCCCAAGCTCCTGCAGAGACATGAGGAGGAGCAATGGATTCCCACTCCTGGGAGGCTCTGAATCAACCCCACCCCCACCCAGGTGGCTGAAGCAGGGCTGAGCTCAGTGAAGGGACTCTCCCTGCAATTGGAGAAAGGTGTCAGCTCAACTCCATAACCCAGTTCTCTGTGCCACCTTTTTCTTCCTGGGTGTCAGGGAAACCCAGTTTATTTTCTTTTTCATGGAATTGGTTGGGGTTTTTGTCCAGAACATTCTGGGGAAAAAATCTGGGAGGTTGGAGGGCAAGGGAGACAGTGGAAGGGAAACTGCTAACCAGGGTTGGATATGTTTCTTCACCTGTGTTAATACCAGTCCAAGCGGCCTGCAGGGGTGGAGCAGAACTCTCTGGTAGTGGACTCACAGTAGGGGGAAGCCTCTTGCATGAGCTCCTGCCCGCTCTCTCCAGTTTAGCACCAGAAGAGGGACCCTCCCATTCAACCAGGACTGCCTCATCAACTCTGCAGTCGGTGGAATGAGGACTGGCACGGCCTCATTTATCATGTGGGGTTCACATCTGAGAAGGGAGACCTTCTCAAGTTCGCAACAGGGAGGACGTCTCAAAGCAGGACTACTGAGAGACATAGGGGCACTTTCTCTTATCTCCTGGTTTGCCTAGAATAAAAGCCAGAGACTACTGCTCTCAGGGAGTCCTAAACCAAATCATCCAAGACAATTTGCCCTGGGGGCCATGGGTCAAAGAGCGAGGTCAGCAAGTGGTGGGAAGCACTGGGTCTAGGGCAGAGGAGGTGGGGATGAGAGGAGAGGGAAGGAGTAGTCAGCAAAGAGGTATCACGTAACTGAACGAGTTCAGCTTGTTTTTAAAATTTGGCTCAAATGTCATCAATCATCCAGTAGTGATCACAGCTCTTTAGCTATTTTATAAAACAATCTTCCATATCAGAAACTGGTTTTAAATGTCAAAGCAAGCTGTGTTTTTGAAGCTCAGGGAAAGCATCGATGGTGTAGGGCTGACGCGCTCTTCCCTGTGCACAATGCCCAGGCAGTTGCTAAAGACCAAGATCAACCTCCTGCAGCACGCAGTAGGTGGGATGGAGGCTTGGAGACAAGGCCAGGGAGGCTGGAAGGCTGGCCTGGTGGCAGGGGCAGAAAGGTAGCATGCAAGGATGTGTAAGGTGGGAGCTGAGTGGAGTGACCAGAAAACCCCATGCCAGAGGACAAAGAAGGAGGGTGTGAAGCCAACCACAGAAGCCAGGTTCAGAGCTGAGGGCTTGAGTCAGGAAGCATGAGAACCTAGACTAACAGGTCAAGGCATGCAGATGGACAGGCAGTCGGGGTGAGCCCAGGGCCCGAGCTGCCAGCCTAGGTGGGCTTCTGAGTACTGCCAGGATAAACACAGCCAGACACTAGTTAAAGCAGCAGGGACAGATTGTAATTCGTAATATACTATTGCGATGGAAGAGGGCTCAGCGTGAACTGAACTCAACTTCGATTTGTACACAGATGACAGACATTTTAAAGGAAAAAGGAGGGGGGATGGAGGGTCCTTGAGCAGAGTCAAGGAAGTGAAAAATTACAAAAAGTAGGAAGGGGAAATAGGTCCACATAAACACATCTGAGATTGCTAACTAGCACTTACTGAAGTTAAGCAACAGTTATCCTCTCCTCCCACATAGGCAGGGAGGCAGAGGCCCTGTCTTCTGCTGTTGACTTGAGGACATAGTAAATTCTTTAGGCAGCCTGGAGTTTTCTCAGACAGGGATTTACCCTCCACTAAAGACACTGAGGGAATTTCTGGGCTGGGTGGGAAGTTGGAGCTGATGACTTCTAAGAACACTTACGTCTTTCTCTTCCCAACATGAACCAGAGGGGCTCCCCAAGGTGAGCAGTATGTGGGAACGGAACACATTCCCAGCTTCAGAGGGCAAATCTGCTGTTTATTTTGAAGTGTATTCTCAGAAAACCAGCCTCATTCATATCAGTATTGCTATGCTTATTATAACTAATAATAAGAGATTTAGTTAAACATTTGACAGTCTTCAAAGCATTTCTGAATCATCTCATTCCATCTTTTCATTCATATTAATAGAGAGATACAAAAACAGATCCCAGAGTGAAATCTAATAATACATTATGTTTGCATGTACATAAAAGAGCATATTCCTAGGACATAAGACTTAGAGGAAATAAGCCAAAGTCCTCACAGTGGGGGAATTATGAATGATTTATTTTCTTTTTTGGGTTTCCCCCATGTTTTATAGTGTGGTTTTGTTTTCTTTGTTCATTCAACAAATACTCGCTGAACACCTACAATGAGTGAAGAGATGGGGATACAGTATTGAACAAAACAGACCCAGGATCTGTCCTCATAGAGCCTAGGAATAAGTGGTTTGTCCCACAAAGAAAACAGAATAATTAAATAACGTTAAGGCAAATGTAACTGGGGGGATTGCTCCCGTTTGTATATTCTCATTCTGCCATTAGTACTGACCTATACCGCCGACCCCTGACCCCCAGACACTGCATGTTGTTGATTCAAGGAAGTGCTGGGTTTTGGGGTTGTTGTGTTTTTTTTTTCACATTTTACCATTTCTGAAATCAGGATTTGTTTCCCAATCAATCACATCAAACAGTTAAAATTGGCATTGCTTTTTCTTTTGTGGTGGCACGTAAAATCATGGTGCATCTTACAGTCTCCATCACCCACATGGTTCCCAGTCCAGGGTTCTGCTGTGTCAGGCTGAAGCTCAGGGACTCTTGAAAGAAAGCCAGTGGTGACAGAATGTAGGGGGCAGAAGGCGCTTTCCTGGAAAGTTAGTGTTGCTCATGCTAGGGAAATTGACTCCTGAGTGGGAGTCCTACAGAAATGGGTGACTTGAAGGAATCCTGCCATGCATGAGGCCTTTTGTTAAGGGGAAGTCCTTTGCATGGTAAAAATCACCCCTTCTGTGCAAAATTACATACATACTTCTTTCAATATTTTTTCATTTTATTTTGTAATCCAAAAGAACACACTATTGGGCTGAACCCTGACAAGACTGCTTTTTTTTTTTAAATCAGTATTTGCCCAAAACCCAGTTAAGCCAAGCTGTGCCCCTGCCTTCTGTGACAACCTGAGAAATGCCCTACTAGATAGCTGCTGTAGGAGCTCCTGCATGATCCCAGGACCACCACCACCAGGGATGGCTGTGGGGTAACACACCAGGAGCGGAACCAACACCCTAGAGGGGGAGAAAAATGACAGTTCTTTCTACCCGAATGCACACAGCCTGCCAGTCATTCAATTACAGAGACATTGACATGCATTATCTCATCTAATCCCCACAGCAACCCAGGAAGGGAGCTATTGTTATCTCCACAGCGCAGATGACAAAACTGAATAGCCAAGCAGCTTGCGTGCCGTGGCATAGCAAAGGGAGGAGCAGGGCTCAGCTTGGAGCCCAGATCTCTCTGTGCGGAGAAAACCAAACCAGGAGTCCAGAGGCCTGGATGCTGGTCCTGACCATGAGACTGACCTTGGGCAGGTTGCTTTCTGCCTGGGCCTCAGGTTTCCCATCTGCTGAATGGGAAGCCTGGGTTAGGTGACCTCAGAAGGCCTCCAGCACCAGCAGCCTGGGAGTCCCTGCCTGTGCCACTCAAGCGCACAGGTGGCACTTGAATATTGGACTGGCTGCAGTTTTGCACCTGGTCCCTGCTCCATCCTTGTGCCTGCTGGCTTGGAGTGCTATAAGGGGACCTGTGGCAAGGACGTGTGATATAACCCCCACCCTTGGTATGAGAGGCAGAACCTGGGTTCCTGTTTTCAAGAAGCAGGAGTTGGGGTAAATAGCAGACCTAAAACTTTAGAAGAGAGACTCCTTGGTAGTGCCCCTTCCTCAGCCCACACATGTAGTGATCACATTGCTGCCCCACCTCAAACTCTTAGATTCCCAGGCTTCCTATAATTTGCAAAAGCCCAACCCCTAAGAATGGCTTCCAAGGCCCTGTTCAACCTGACCTCTGGCCCTAATCCAGCCTCATCATCTGCCTCTGGTTGACCAGCATGAACCCTGCATTCCATTGCTGGAGAACCATCCACCAAATACTCCCTGCGCTTTGGCGCCTGCCTCCGTGCATTTGTACCCGCTGTTCCCTTCCTTGTTTTACCTCCCCGGCAAAGGCCTATTCATGTGTCCAAGAGCTGCTCAAAGATCATGGTCTCTAAGAACACATTCCCCCTGCAGCTGATCGCTCCATACAACACTTCGTACATTAATTTCCTTCACAGCTATTTACTGAGCACCTACTGGAAAAATGAAGCTTAGCAAGATGATCCCAGCCTTGGTGTGAGTGTTCACAGAATAAAGTGGGATGTTTGGGCATCTGTCACCCATCTAAGAGATACACAACTCTCCTTTTAGGACTGAATTCCCCTTGGGCACCACTGCTTCTTACACCTGCCTCTTAAGAACTGCCTTCTTTAGCTCCCATCAGCCCTTATCTCACTGTAGATGAGAAATTCTTGGGGAACAAGGATGTGTCTATCAGATCCTATCTCCCCAGTACCTTGCTTTCATATGAGTTTATGAATGGGCAATGTTGAAAGAATGAATGTACTTTGGTGCTCAAATGTGCACCCTTTGCTCAGACAGCACTCAGATGCTGTTCTCTGATGCTCCTCCTGCCTCCCTCCACCCACCTCTGCCAAAACTGCCATTAAAATCTGCCCTGAGTGGTGGAAATGTAAAATGTACAGGCATTGTGGAAAACAGTATTGACTTTCTTCAAAAAAAATTTTTTAAATAGGATTACCAGATGCCCCAACAATACCACTTCTGGAGATATATACTCAAAAGAATTGAAAGCAGGGTCTCAAAGAGCTGTTTACACACCCATGTACACAGCAATATTATTAATAATAGCTAACACATGGAAGGGATTCAAATATTATTTAGCCTTCAAAAAGAAGGAAATTCTGACATA